CAGAAGAACATAAGTTGAGGGTCATTTTGGTAATTCAGGGACCAAATTGCAAGAGCGGCAAGTTTCCAGGGAAGTATGAGCAATTTCAAAGATGTGAAGGACTAATATGGAATATTGAATGTTTGAGGGACCAATCTCTCAAAAACCGACTATGAGCAATTTCAAGGATTTCAGGGACTTATATGGAATTATTGAAGATTTGAGGAACTAAATATCAGAGACGGTTCGTGGATAGTAATAAACTCCCATGACAAATGATTTTGACTAGTTCCCCTGTTTCTCGTACGTATCATTAATAGCATTGACAATGCATAATATGCTTTTAAACCAAAATTTGAATTTGAAATTTCTCAAGAAAAATGTTTATTCTCTTATTTGAAAATTTTAAAGCATGATATGGTTCTCTTACTAACATGCTTCTGACAATTTTCTTGAGAACTCTGGCTTTTCGAAAGAAGAAGCCATATAAAAAATGCCATTTTCAAGCTCCACATAAGGTTCAATATCTTTGGATTGAATTGCTGTCATTCTGCCATAAAGCTTATGGATACTGTTTGTGTTTAAAGATTTGATTCCTCCACAGCTACAATCTCCCTGCTATCCTCTGCTTGAACAAATAAAGATGGACCTCCACCATTCATCTGATATCTGCCCCCCTCTTCTGGAGTTCCATTTCTTAAGAATACGTCCCTAATCTTGTGCAATTCTCTACTGACATCTCCCATCTCCATTCTCTCTTCTGGAAGTTCATTTGTACATAGGATGCCAAGTCTAAGCAACGAAGATGCACACTCTACAATTCTTTCATCATTCAACCTCCAACCATCATCTTCACCACCACCACCACCACCACCATTTGCTTTGCCATCTTCCAGTAGGAGAAGATGAGAATCAATAATATCAGTGATTCTGTCAGGAAACCCCATCTCCACAAACTTGCGAAGAATGTGGCCTCCTACAAAAGTATCATCGGTGGGTCTTTTTGCAGTAATCATCTCAAGTAGAAGAATTCCATAGCTATATACATCTCCATTGGTTGAAGCTTTGTTCGCCACACCATACTCTGTTTAAGATATAGGCAACTTAGGGGGGGCCTAAATCCAATAAATTTATCTGAATAAATTAATGGGTAAATTTGATAAAACACCCTAGGAATCTGACCAAAAGTTTGGAAATGTCATTTAACCCACAAAACTTGTTCAGATAACCCGCAAAATGTTGGGGTTATCTGAAACTAAATTAGGAAAAAATATGAAAAGTCTTATGTAGTCAAATGATATTCCCAAACTTTTTTGGGGCTATATCAAAAAGGGTCAAACTTCTTGGGGGTTTTGTGGATTTACCCTAAATTAGAATTGGAGCAATGTATATGAAGCTAAGGGAATATCTCCACTCTCCAGTGAAGTTTCTAGTTGAAACATGTAGATATGGTAGATGGGATAATATAATATCGACATACAAACATACACATGATTGAGAGAGGTTAAACAGTCAGTGACTATAATTGAAGGAAAAAGTTAAGAAATACATGTTTCGGATTCATATTTGCATACATGAAGCAAATTAAGAACTGGATCCATAAGATCTGAAATTGCTATAAGCCAAACTAATGCAATAGTAAACTTTCAGCAGCTGTTGAGTATAGTTTTCTTATAAAATTTCTAGGCTTTTAGTAAAAGTTATTAAGTGTAGAAATGAACATAAGCAAGAATAAGAAGTTTTCACCTGGAGCAATATATCCAATAGTTCCTCTCAGACCAACTGAACTTGTCGAGTTCTGACATGACTTGCTGACAATTTCCGTCAGAAGCCTCGCCAGCCCAAAGTCGCCAACATGGGCAGTCATCTGAACATCGAGAAGAATGTTGCTAGGCTTCAAATCAGAGTGAATTATTGGCGTCCCACATTGATGGTGTAGATAATGCAAAGCAGAAGCCACATCAATGGCTATGTTCAATCTTGCAGCAAGGTTAAGTTTCTTTTGTTTGAATACCACATTTGCTTTGGGATGCAACCAATCATCTAAATTGCCGTTGTCCATGAACTCAAAAACCACAGCTTTGAAGTCGTTACCTTTGAAATCTACACTTGAACATATTGTAAGGATTTTGAGAAGATTCCGATGCCGGATGTTCTTCAAGGCTTCACATTCTGACAGAAAGCTCCTCGATGCTCCTCGTATTTGAAGATTTAGTACCTTTATAGCAACAACTTTCCTACTTTCACCATGAAGTAGTCCTTTATATACTGTACCAAAACTTCCAGTCCCAATTATATTGTCCTCGGAGAATCCATTTGTGGCTTTCACCAGTTCACTAAAAGAGACTTTCTCATTTTGCTTGTTTGCTGGTGATAACTCATGAGATCTTCTTCTTGAACTCTTTCTACGGCGTCGGACAACGAAGAAACAGAATAACAGAATCAAGAATACAAATGAAATAGTGATGCCATTGATCATTATCAATGAATGCGAGTCACCTTTCTTAATAAACGGTTCCGAAGGGCATGCTGGCAGATGCATTGCTGGGTTCGCTCCACAAAGCTTATCATTTCCAATAACTGAAACTGCACTTGCATTTTCGAACACGCCAAGTTGTGGCACTTCACCTTCAAAGTTATTGAAGGACAGATTCAAATAGTCTAGTAGATGAAAGTCTTGTAAGAAATATGGTATTTTTCCTGAAAAGTTATTTTTTGAGACATCAATCTTCTGGATGCCTCTTAACCAGGCTAAAGAAGAAGGAATGCTTCCTTCAAAGAGATTTCCACCGAGATAAAGCTCCTGCAGCACTTGACACTCACTGAGAGTGCTAGGGATTTCACCTGATAATTTGTTCATGCTGACATCTAATGCATTCAAGTTTCTTAAGTTCCCGACTTCAAATGGTATTAGCCCTGATAGTGAATTGGATGCCAAACGTAAAGCTATGGCGAGTCCGGTTATGGAGAATATTTCTTTGGGTATAATGCCCGTAAGTTTGTTAGAGTCGAGGTGTAGAAGAATTAGATTTTGGCACTTTCCAAGACTTGCTGGTATATTCCCGCTCAGTTCATTGGATTCTAGGTGAATAGAATTCAACTGAGTAAGGTTGCCGATGGTAGATGGAATCTCTCCAGATAGCTTGTTGTTGTCCAATTCCAGTAGATTCAACTGATGGAGCATCCCGATGCTTGATGGAATAGAGCCATGAAGCAAATTTCCATGCAGTTTAAATACCAGAAGGTTTGCAAGATTTCCAATATCAGAAGATATGGTTCCAGAGATATTGTTATCATGCATGCTGAGAAACTGAAGATTGGTGGAAAAGTTGGCGATTGAATTTGGTAGCATGCCACTAAGATTATTTGATGCTAGGCCCAATACCCGTAAGTGGGTACAATTGGTTAAAGCAGTTAGGAAATTCCATCCATCAGGTTCCATGATTTCCAAGTGGTTAACATACAGACGTAGTGCTTTCAGCTCTTGTAAACTTCCGAGACTAGGAGGGATTATGCCACTAAAGCTATTTTTAGAAAGATCAATGTCTCGAAGATGAGATGCATTGGACAATGACATTGGGATAGGTCCGTGAAATTGGTTACAGTCCAGGTCAAATACTTCAAGCAGAGGAAGAGCTCGGCCTACGTTAGGTGGGAGTGAGCCAGATAGGTGATAGTTAAATGACAAATCTAAATAAGAAAGAGAAGAGAGATTCCACAGTGAAGGTGTTATGACTCCAGAGAGGATGTTAAAGGACAAATGAAGTTCTTCTAGTTCAGATAGTCCACCGATTGAATGTGGTATGCTTCCTATTAATTCATTATTATCAAGTGAAAGGCTAGTAAGAGACGAGATGTTCCCTATGCTAGGTGGGATGCTGCCATATAAGCCGTTTCCAGACACTGATAGTATAGAAAGCACGGAAAATCTTGTTAACGAAGGTGGTATATACCCTGTAAGACTGTTGTTGCTCAAATTTAGTATTTGCAGGCTAGTACAGTTACTGAGACTGGCTGGAATTTCACCTTGGAGCTTGTTATTCGACAAACTCAATACCTCTAGTTTCGAACAGTGAGAGAATGAAGCGGGGATACCTCCTTCAAGAGAATTCAAACTCAAGTAAAGATACCGCAACCGAGGAAGGCGACCAATCTCTTGTGGGATGGATCCATTAATTTGATTATTTGAGAGATCAATCTTCCTGAGAAATGTGAGATTGGCTATGGCCGTTGAAATAACTCCAACCAGATCGAGGGAGCTCAAGTTCAAGGATATGACCCTTTGAGGATGTCGCAAGCCACCACAAGTGATCCCTGGCCAATGACAGAAATGAATAGAGTCGTTCCACGCGGTCAGTGATCTTCTTGGATAACTGGATATCATGGATTTGAAGGAGAGAAGTGCTTGTCGATCAGTGACATTGTTGTGTTTTGGATTGAAGGTAGTTATGGATGTGGAAGTTTGTGGGCATGAAAAGATGACTATACTTGTGAACACCGAAAAGACTAACAGATGAGCCATTGGGATGGATTTTTCAAGATAATTTGGATTATATATATGATCAAACTCTTACGATCTATTTATAGCTTTAACGTCTTCAAGTATTCATACAAGAGTCTTAGCTAAATCCTAGTTGATTAAAAAAATAGAACTATCAAAGAATTGTCAGCAGTAGCCTCAGTTTCAAGAACTAAAGCTATCGGAATATTCAACCATAATGTAAATGCATAGAATAACGAACCATCAGAAGATTACAACACCAAGACATTTCTTTTTGGCATCATTAATTAGAAGTCCTGGACTTATTTAAAGCGGATATCCGCAATCAGCACTTCACACCTCAAGTCATCTTCTCTGGGCAAGTTGGTCTATTTGCCTTCCATCAAAGACAAGGGGAAAGAAACTTCAAAGGTCTAGGTTTATGTTTTGAAATTTTCAAAAGGCTGTGGAAATACAAGAGTGGAAGCTTTCTGTGCAATGACTTGGGAGATGGTAGAAGTAAAAATGATGTGAGGAAAAACTGGTAGGATGTTACTATGAAGCACATGTGATTGTCCAGCAAGGACAAGGCTAGCATGCACTAGAATGAAAGGATGACAATTTTCTAAGATTATAGCAAGATATATATATGTGATCGAAATTTTAATTACATCCAATTTACACCATCAGGATCCATTACAGTCTTCTCCCCCCTTGTCCGTCCTTTCACCGCAAGATGGGTCCCGAAAGTGGTCCTTAATAGGCACAATGCCCATGAATGATTTTATGTGAGTAAACATTAATGTCCCTTTACAGGAAGTGAAAAAATAAGGGCTGATGCTAAAAAAGCACGAAAATAACAATCTCTTCTCTGCTCGTTAGATATTTTTGTTTTAAAAGTGGGTTCTACACTTGATTTTCTCAATGAAAACATGGGCGGCTAAATTAATGGAGAGTTGGGGAGTTGTCAATTTTTTGTTGAAAATGAAAAAAGTGGTGGGCCCCACCACAAGAAAATTAGGAAGTGGGCCCTACATGCATAATAAAATAATATTACTTTATTAGTGCATAGTATTTTCCCAAACGCTATAAATAGACCCCAAACTCTTAAGGAAAATTTATTCCAAAAACAACAATCAATATATACAGATATATGTTATAAAATAACTAGTGCTCGTAGGAACATTGTCTGGACCAAGAAGGTCATATAGATCGAGGAGATCGTTGCCTTGACCGAGAATGTCTTATAGATCGATGAGATCGTTGCCTTGGCCGAGAAGTCCTATAGATCGAGAAGATCTTGACAATACTGGGTCGGTGCACACCAGAATACTGTACTGCTTTTCCTGGAAGCAATTTGACATTGAGATCCTTACACCAGAGTAGGTTAAATATTACTTTAATCACAATGTTTTACAAACGCACAGCAGCTGAGTTGAAAATTTTAAATTACTGCACTTTAGCTTTCTTTTCAGTTTTTACTGCTTTATATTTGTATTACTCCAGACTGTATTATTCTAGATTTAGCCAGAGGCACCACCAATCTTAAAGCAATATTTGGCCTACCATGGATCCTACAAGGACTCTTGGACTAGATTATCTTAAGTTAGAGAACTTTGACGGTTCCAACTTCAACGCATGACGTCGGAAAGTGATCTTCAGGATGCAACTCTTAAAAATCTACTATGTGGTCTCTGAGGAGAAACTCGAGTCTAAATAAGATTTTGAGTCTGAAGCATCTTAGGCTAGAGATGATCACTTCTGCAGGAGTTACCTTCTTCTTAACTGTCTGGCCAATCATCTAGCAGATGCTTACATCAACATGCCCTCTGTAAAGGAAATCTGGAATGCTCTAGAGGACCAGTACAAGGATGAGGAGAAACTGTGCAAATCTCACTTCATCGACAAGTTTCTAGACTTTAAGTTCGAAGACGATATTGAGGTTTTGCCTCAAGTCAAAGAGCTTGTAAAGCTTGTTATGAAGCTGAAAGATGAAAATATCAGTCTTTGTCAAACCTTTATTTCTGGTACAATTGTGAACAAGCTTTCTCCATCTTGGATGTCATTCTCCACTGACATTCGAAGAAGGAAAAGACAGGTGACTCTATCTAATTTGAAAAGATTCATTCGGATCGAGGACGAGACTCGAACTCGCACGAAGAATGAGCTTATCGCTAAGCAGAAGGCGTCTGCTAACATGGTGGCTGCTAACTCTGAGAAGGGTAATAATTTATCTTTCAACAAGAAGAAGAAGTTCTTTAACAAATGGAAGAACCAGAATCCAAAGAACCTGAACGTTCAGAAAAAGTTCAAGAAGAGCGGCAAATGCTTCAATTGTGGGAAGCAATGACATTTTACCAAGGACTGCAAAACACCAAAAAATGAAACTACACACAATGTCAATCAAGTTGATGATTGTGTGGCTATGATCTTCCAGGTAACAACTCCTAAGAGCAATATCTCTGATTGGTGGTTAGATACAAGTGCTACTTGTCATGTTTGCTCCAATAGAGATTTGCTCTCTTTTTATATTACTGCCAAAGAGAACGTATCAATAGCTGATCGTTCTGTGGTTTCTGTTCTTGGAACTGGGACTGTGATGCTGACTCTCTCTTCAGGAAAGACTCTCACATTAAAAGATGTGAAACATGTTCCCTCAATTACCAAAAACTTAGTCTCTGGAAGCCTGCTATGTGATGCAGGTATGAGGCTGGATTTTCAAAGAGGTAAGGCTGTATTATCCTTTAAGAAAATGTATTTTGGCAATGCATATCTTACTAATGGTATGTATAAGATCAGTACTATTGCACCCAACTTGGTTATAAATAAAATATCATATTCTACTTACTCCACTGTATTATGGCATAATAGGCTAGGACATGTAAATTATAAAAAATTATCTAGCATGGAGAAGTTAGGATTACTTCTAAAATATGGGGGTAACAAACCTGAGAAATGTGAAGTTTGCGCGCAAGCAAAACCGACGAGGAAGCCATTTTTAAGTGTCACAAGGAGCACAAATCTGTTGGATCTGATTCATTCAAATACTTGTGACTTCAAGAGCTTCGTTACTCGTGATGGTAAGAAGTACTTCATCACCTTTATTGACGACCATTCTTGCTTCTGCCACGTTTACCTGCTAAAATCTAAAGATGAAGCCTTCAGCAAGTTGGTCGAGTTTCGGACTCGAGTGGAGAAGCAGCTTGGACTGCAGGTGAAAAGACTCAGTAGCGACAGAGGAGGAGAGTACCGATCTAAGGAGTCGGAAGCATACTTCAAGGAGTATGGAATCATTACTGAAATTAGTACTGCTCCATATTCTTCGCAATCTAATGGGATTACAGAAAGGAAGAATCACATATTGACTGAGATGGTGAATTCGATGCTAATCACATCTGGTTTACCTACCTGCTATTGGAAAGAGGCTTTGCTAATGGCAAACTGGATTCTAAACAGAATACCCTACTCCAAAACTGATAGTACTCCTCATCAGTTATGGTTGTTGGGATATCCAGACCCCTTGGATAATCTCAAAGTGTGGGGGTGTCTCGCATATGTTCGAATTCTAGATATCAGAAGGCCTAAGCTCGGACCAAAGGCTAACAAATGTGTGTTTCTTGGCTTCGCTAAAGATAGCAATGCTTGCAGGTTCTTGGACCTTAGAACCAACTCCATCATTAAAGCTCGAGATACAGAATTCTTTGAGGACAAGTTTATCAAAGATAAAGGCTTATTGCTCAAAGATATAGCAGAGAATGCTAGTACGTCAGATGCACCAGAGGAGCTAGTTTCGCAAAAAACAGAAAATGTCAACGATGAAGGAGTTATCGAACCATCTTCCAAGCGTATCAGGAGACAAAAAGATTTTGAAGATGACTTCATCATTTATAATATGAAAGGAGACCCGCAGACTTTTTAAGAAGCAATGCAGTCAACAGACGCACTTCTGTGGAAAGAAGCTATAGAGGATGAGATGGATTCATTGATCCAAAATTATACTTGGGAGCTGGTGAATATACCTGAAGGTGCAAGGCCTATCAGTTGTAAGTGGATCTTTAAGAAGAAGCTTCGTCCTGATGGTACTATTGAAAAATACAAAGCAAGACTGGTGGCGAAAGGATTCTCTTAGAAAGAATGTATAGATTTCTTTGATATCTATGCACCAGTTTCCAGGATCACTACCATCAGAGTGCTTATCGCATGGGCAACGATTAAAAGGTTCGTCATACATCAGATGGATGTGAAGACTACCTTTCTCAATGGAGATCTCACAGAAGAGTTCTACATGAAATCAGAAGGACTTGATGCTCCAGCTGATAAGATTTGTAAACTTGTTAAGTCTTTATATGGACTTAAGTAGGTACCAAAACTCTGGCATGAGAAGTTCGATGGGGTTGTTCGCAACAATGGGTATCAAGTTAGTGAATCTGATAAGTGCCTATACATCAAGGTCGTTGAAGGAAAGGTGGTGATCATCTGCCTCTATGTGGATGATATGCTCATCATTGAGAGTGATTTAGAGATAGTAATATCTACCAAGAAATTTCTTTCAGCACAGTTCATTATGAAGGACCTTGGAATTACGGACGTGATTCTCGGAATCAAAATCATATACTCTGAAGAGGGTATTGGATTGTCTCAATCTCATAATGTCGAGAACATGCTAAGGAAGTATGGCTACAACGACTTGTCAAACTATCAGTGCCATACGATTACAAGAAGAAGCTTCGACCAAACACTGGAAGACCAGTAGAGCAGCTGAGGTACTCAAAGATCATTGGGAGTCTCATGTACGCGATGAGTTGCACAAGGCCAGACATTGCATTCACTGTAGGAATGCTTAGTAGGTTCACAAGTAATCCTGGAAAGCTTCATTGGGATGCTGTCTAAAGATTGATGAGATACTTGAAACAAACTACAGGTCTGGGCTTATTCTACACTGAATATCCGGTTGTAATCGAATGCTATTCAGATGCGAGCTGGTGCTCAGAACCAGATGAGTGCAGATCTACTGGAGGATTTGTCTTCACTATGGGTGGAGTTATCGTCTCGTAGAAGTCTAAGAAGCAGACCAGGATTGCACAGTCATCGATGGAATCTGAGTTCTTCGTACTCTGTGCCGTAGGAGATGAAGCTGAATGGTTTAGTTATTTTCTCCGAGACCTTCCATTGACAGAATTGCAAGGTGTAATTACTATTTATTGTGATAATCAAGCGGCGA